GTTAATTCGGGTAAGCTCAAATTAGGTTAGGTTTCTTTATTATTTTTTTGTAATGGTAAAAAACCTATATGTGAAGAATAGAAGTGAGAGTATACTGTCGTTGTAATTGTTACATAATTCTGATACTCAATAAAATTTTATTTTGAATGTTGAACATAGTTCTTTAATTTGAATGAATCAGGTAAATCGTGTCTCTGTTTTTATTTTATATTGACTTGTGACATGTTTGACTTTTAGATTCAACAATCATTTGGTTAGAAAAAGCTCAAATTATACAATTATAAACACCAGAGAAAGAAATGGTTAGACAGACGAATTTATGAATAAAATTGACCAGTAGCGCAGTTGGAGTGAAATTCATTGAAACATCCCAGTCAAAGATTGACGTTGACCACCACCACCAGGAATACAGAGAGAGAGAATAGTTAATGGCAATGGATGCTATTGGTATTGGTAGCACTGATAGTGAACTGTAGCAAAGTGCAGTGACATGTAAGATATCAGCCATAAAGTCTCCTATCAAAACCCTAATAAATAACTTTTCCAAGTTTCCTTTCTGATACAAGACGAAGAATAGGAATCTTCACTTCATCTTTCCCACATTCATGTCTCAAATTACTTATTTTGTTAACCAAGTTAAGCTATGCGTAAGCTACAGTTTTTCTTTTTGTACTTTCTTCCCCACTTGTCGTTAAGCAAAGATTTGGCAATCTAATTGAGAGACAGTGAGATGAGATCCAGTTCATAATTTTTTTTTTTTTTTTTCTTTCCTGCCATAGGCCCTTATTAGGGTTTTCATGTTTTCAAAACACTGACAAAAAAAAAAAAAAAAAAAAAATTATATATATATATTAACCGGAAAATAATGCTGAAAATTATGATCCATTTGATAATATGCTTATAACTCTATTGTCTAAGTAGTGAGAGCCCATTTGGGATATTGAACATTCTGCAACTTAATGATTCAGGCCACCAGTTTCAAAATTTCCAAGCAATAAAATTTATCCATAGGGTTTAGCCTGACGATCAATGAGGTTTACTCTATTCTTTGAGTTTTTGGTTTCAAACCTTGAAATCACCTACTACACATAAGATTGTAGCTTACCGTCTTTTGGCTTATATAAGGTTCAATGAACTCTGAACATTAATTGAAGTGCGTGTAAACTGGCCCAACACCCTGGTTGCCAAAAAAAAAAAAATTCGATTTTCATTTATGTGTCGGGTTAACCTTAAACCAAAACTGGCTCTGGCAAGAATTGATGCCTGTATTAATTAATTGGACATTTAAGTTTTAAGATAAAGTTATGGTTATTAATTTACTTAACAAGTACATGATATATGCTGCATATCAATATGTGTTTGTTTTAATACGATAATATATAATCATTTATTTAAATGTAATAGTTTAATGGATTAAATCAATTTAGTAGGCATAATTAATACTTCAAAAATGTTTTAATCTAATAGTTCCATATTTAAGACTTGTGATATGTGATTAATATAAACAAATAAAGAATAAAATTATTAAATATAGTAACTAACTACATATATTATAAGATCCTTCAAAACAAGTGCAATTAAAGATTAAGCGAAATGTAATTTGATCATGAAACAATAAACGGATGATATAAGCTCAAATTAAATTATATGTACAACAATAATGTCAATTGTCATGGCTGGGAGTTTCACACTCGAAAGCCTAACCTATTTGGTGGAGGACTCTCATATTTATAAGCCTAAGATTTCCCCAACACGCTTTTGATGACATAACTCAAATTAAATTATATGTACACAATATATGCCAATTGTCATGATGGAGTTTCACACACTCAAAACTTAACCTATTAGGTAGAGAGACTCCCCTCTTTATAAGTCCAAGACTTCCCCAATATTTTCGATGTGGATTTTGTTACATTCTCCCCACCCAATCTTGTGACGCCTTTGTTACAGATGGGGCCCCCTGTCTACTTATCCACCTCACTCTCGTGTGTGACCCACAATCACATATTTCGATGTGAGATTTACATTCACCCTCACCAAATCCTGTGATACCCTCGTCACAAGTGGGGCCCCCCTACTCATCCATTTTACTTTCATGTGAACCTACAATTACACATGGACGCCCCTGCATTGACGCTTGGCGAGACACCAAAAGATGGATCGGGTCTGCTCTGTATCATTGTTACATGCTGAGAGTTTCACTCCAAACAACCTATTAGGTATAGAGACTTCCCCGTTCAAAAACCCAAGAGTTCTCAATACGCATCTGATGTGAAATTCGTCAAACAATGCTAACCTCTACTTGAGAAAGTCTTTCTCCCCACCTTTAAGTAATTGTATAAATATCCGTCGCCATAATAGAAAATGAAAATTAAAAACAAAGGGAAAAAGAAACAAAATGATACTGTTTGATGATCACTGTCCTGTACCCTCTATGCATCAATTTAGGATATATAGAATATATGAGCTGTACCTAGATAGACTTCATTCTTTTGTTATACAATTACAAAATATTCTTGTTCTTATTTTAATGACGTAGATAAATCATTAAATACGTATAATTACTTGTATAACACAAGCACACACATTAATTAAACCTGTACTTTCAAATTTTGAAGGAATTAATAACACAAAACGCATGAAATTGCAAACTAATTAATTAACTGATGATAACTCTTTAGTATGAATTCCTCCAAAAGACTGAAATTTATAACAATAAAAACAGTAGCATGCCTTCATTTCCAGTTCCAGTAAGTTGAAGGATTGATAAGGAGAAGCAAGTACCCAATTACCAATTTAATTTTCCTATATCTCACATGCGGCTACTACTCCACCTTGCACCAACCATATGACTATTCCATTGACCATCGAAATTTCATGTATAAACAACGATAAATTAATGGTGAATTGTCAAGCTTTAGGCATGCGTGTTGGTAAACCTTCTAGCCATAAGTTTCACATTTTGACCGTACTACGATTCTCATTTATTAAGTTTTTATCTTATCCCAGTAACTTAATGCATTTTGACCAGCTATATAGCTATGTATACTTATGATTAATACACATTTTAAGATCCTCCAAAAGTTTAGGAAATTTTTTATTCGTGTTGTTACATGAAAACGCAACAATAAGAGATACCCAATCGGCTATGGCGGGATTGGGTTGGATATGTGCGTGATTATGAATAACCAGCTAGGGACGTATTAGAAAACAGATAATGAAAGGACAAAGACAATTTTTAAAGTGGTTTGACGAGTTGGAATCAAGCTTGCATCTACTGATATGTTATTGCTTTGTATTTGCTCTACACTCAGGCTGATTACAAACAAAACAAGTAAAAATGAGGATCAACTCTCTCTAAGTCGGTTTCTTATTTTTGTGCGAATAGTCAATCCCCCAAAACAGAGGTGGTTTCTCCTTTTTATACACTGTCTGATAGTGGTTGAGAGTGAATGTTACAAGATGGATTTCACGTATAATCTCCCGTAATCCGGATCTAAGTTAGGCACACTCATGAGTAAAATTAAATACTCATGCTTAATACTGATAATTTTGCTAGTGAAATCATTTGCTATGGGACCGACACATGGGATGAGTTTAATCATTAGATCCTGGCATGGTGTAAGGGCAGGTGACACAAATTTGGTCGTAAAAAAGTCCACTACACAAAAATTCGGAGACTATGCAAATTCTATTATCACAAACTACATAATATTAATTAGATTCATATATCCATTTACTTAACATATATCTAACTGTAGCAACTCGAGAAAAGTCGCAGATGGGATTTCTATTTCTTGGTGGCACTCAAAAAGCCAAGGCCAAAGCTAGTATTTATAGCTAACTCTTTTCAGTGTAGTACAGTAGGATTGAGGTGAAATTGGTTTGAAAGCTGATGGAGATCGAACCTAGTACTTTAAATTGATGAGAGATGGCTGGAAGAATCTGCTACATATCATAAGTTTTGGGCTATGTAGTCCAAGTCCAAGCACAGGGTGGATGTCCCACCCCCACCATTTCCATTTGCTTCCAATTAATGTGATCTTCAACTGATGAGACATTAAATGTTCAATACAGTGTTTTGAAATGCGAATCACAACTGCTTTTTTCTTTATCAAGCTGATCCATTGGTGTAAAGCTCATGAGAAGAGAATTGTCATATTTTACTCTCACTTTCCCTCTACAGTTGAGAATTTTTCACATTTATGTAACATGACGAAACTAATGCATAGGTCGAATGCATTTTTTAAATTAGAAGCACTTGAAATATAACCACTGCACCTTTTAAAATGTTAAAGTATTTTTCTTTGTTGAATCTTAATTAGGAGTAATATAAAAAGGATGATTCTACATATAGTGTTACATCTCTTGCATTAACAATTTATGCCAAGACTTCGGTTCTTTTAAATATTGAGTCATCAAATCTATGTGATACTATCTCATAAATAAATTTATAACATGTCCATCACAACTATCACCATCATAACGTCTTTAATAACAAAAGTGGGAGAGAGAGAGACAAGTCAGGCCTTTCATTCTACAGTTAAACGTTGCTCCATGTCTACATAATGTACATGGATCTTTATAAATGTCAATTTGGGTTGGAGATAGAGAGAGAGGGGAGGAAAAAGAGAGTAAATGTAGGCAAAGACGGAAAGAAAGACAGCATTATAGAAGAACAGTAGTGGTCTAGAGCAATGACTTGTTAAGAATCGAGCATTAATTTGGGATTGAGATAGAAGAGTTTATAATTATAATGGTTTTTGTTTTACTGTTTGGTACGCTATTCTATGCATCCATATATCTTTTCTTCTCCATCAATTCAATCCTTAGCTCCTTTGCCAATTTCTTGTCCCTTTCGTTCCCAAACACGCCACAATCAAAACATAAATCTCAATTCATTTCACTCCACGTGCCCTCTCTTAACAAGTAGCAAAACAAGACAAACCCATATTGGAAACCATTTTCCTCTTGTTAATTAACCCGCAACAAGACCCAAATACCCATAAGGTTTCTTTATTTATTGCCCTTTCTCGTTCCCACTCATCTTCTCATCCAACAAACCCTAAAACTCTTCTCTCTTTCTCACTCATATAACCATGCAGATCAACTCAAACTCCTTCAACTACATATACTCTAGTGAGAGTGCCTGTTTGGAGGCCGATGATCAAGAAGATGAAGATTCTATTATCCTTTCTCTTGGCCCTCCAGGTCAAGATCACCTCTCCAAACGCCCCATCTATCAACCCTCCTCCTCAAATCAACTTGGCAACAAAAACCAAAACCCCAATGCTAAAAATGGTGTAACAGTGGCTCTCCATATCGGTCCACCACCAAACACTGACGATCAAGCCGGCCCGAGCAACACTAATGATAATGGTCATCTAGTTGAAGGACACTACTGGATTCCTTCACCCGCACAAATCCTTGTTGGCCCAACACAGTTCTCTTGCACTGTCTGCAGCAAAACCTTCAATAGATACAATAATATGCAGGTACTAATATGAGTAGTTTACATTTTAATTAGTTTCTTTTTTTTTTGTCCATATGCGTTCAAATGTATTGTTACTTTCTTTTGTTTTTTCTTCTGTGTTTTATTAATTCGTGTTTGTCTAGATGCATATGTGGGGTCATGGTTCACAGTACAGGAAGGGCCCGGAGTCTTTAAGAGGGACAAAAGCAGCTTCTTCCATGCTCAGACTGCCTTGTTATTGCTGTGCTGAGGGTTGCAAGAACAACATAGAGCACCCAAGATCAAGGCCATTGAAGGATTTTCGGACTCTACAGACACATTACAAGCGAAAGCATGGAACAAAGCCTTTTGGGTGCCGAAAATGCGGTAAGCCTTTTGCTGTCAGAGGTGATTGGAGAACCCATGAGAAAAATTGTGGAAAGCTTTGGTTTTGTATTTGCGGGTCTGATTTTAAGCACAAGAGGTCCCTTAAAGATCATGTTCGTGCCTTCGGAGATGGACATGCACCTCACACTATTGAGTCGTGTGAAGTTGGAGAGGAAGACAACATGGATGAAGATGATGATGATGATGATGAAGAAGATGAAAATGGTGGTTATAATAATATCATTAGTCATGGTTTGTTCTAATTATGAATGTAGAGTTTACGTTATGTTAAGTAATTAAGAATAATTAAATTAAAGAGTTTTTTGTGTGTTTATGTGGTGAGAGAGAGATGGAGAGAGAGGATGAAGACAAAGGATACAGTGAAAGCCAAGGCTGTAAGCATTTAATGTTTAAAGTGCCAGTTAGATTATCTAATCAAATTACCTTTTTGTTATACCTTTTATTGTAGTATATGTACACGCATAAAAAGGCACATACATATTTACAAATTCACACAGATAAGAGAGAGAGATTTGATTTTTCAATCACCATTGGTATTATATTATATTTAATTTTAATTTATTTTTAAAAAGGTAGTCAAGTAAATTCAGTAGTCACTGCAGATACAAGCAGACATGCAGACATGCACAGTAGATTCACAGATTCTACTGTTCATTTGCTTTGCCATAGAAATCGCGGACGCTTTCTCTCTCTCTCTCTCTCTTTCTGAGTTTCGACTACCACTAAAACACTTTGATCGACTACTCCTTTGTCAGTGGGCTATCAAGGGACCACTGAATGTTCACTGCTTTTGGGGTTTCACCCAAAGACCTCTTTTTATTTCCTTTCCAGATCATCTACAAACACATATATCATCCATTTTTAGGAACCTTTGTTTCTGTTTAATTTTCTCCACAAATCCTAGTAATTATAATCTGCATGGCCTTGCTTCTTTTATATTTATTATCATATATATTACAACCTCTTTTTTTTATCAATTTATTGCTAATACATGTATTATTTTCATTTCTCTCTAGCTATTTAAGACTATAATTTCCGCCCGGCATCCTGTACACAGTCACTCATGCATGGACTGAATTAATTAAGACAATATTGTAAATCGTGGTCTCCTCAGTCCTCACCATCACAATTCACAGCTGAGGTGCAATACTTCAAATCACAAATCCTTAATTGATATTCATTTGTGAAGCTTGTTAGAGCTTAAATGCATATATATATATTTCTTTATTTATTTATATGGTCTTGTCTTTGATTCGTCTAAACATTTTGGTCTGAATGGCCATACGTCATACTTTATATCCATCCGTCATCTATGAAGCCAAAAACTTCACTCACTGGGTAACTTCGAAATTACATTTAACAAAATTTATGAACCATTTTAGTTTTAATACATACATTAATTAATGCATTTATTACACACTTGTTGAACCATGTACACAGCTTTAGAATGGTGCCACTAAATATGTTCTTATATTCAATCAATTTACCATGCATCTATCCACTGATCCATTTTGGAATTCACAAATTAATGATAGTGACAATTAATTAATTTGTAGGATCAATACCGATCCATCTTCATACAATCTAACAACATTTTCATAATGTAAACCTTCAGTGCTGTAAATTATATAAAAACAACAATATTATTGGAATAACATTGTACCTTGTATTTGTCATGTAAAACAGCACATTTATATATGTCAAATATTAAATTTGTAACTAATTTGACAATAATATTAAAAGGTAGATTTGAGAAGACAATTATTATAGTAGGATCTTTATGACTAATAATTCAAGTAAATTTTCAAATGTTGATCAATTATAGAGGAGAGACGATTTGACGTTATGTTATGCACTCATTTAAGTCAATAGATCCTAGAGGACATGCACTGGGTCGGGAATGTTTGATGGGGCTTTCGACTTTCGAGCTCATCCTGCTTCAAAAACTGTAGTTATTAAAATGGTCTTAAACCAATACTCAAAATATATGTAGAAGATTATATACAAGAAGCATTGACCAAGCTAGCTGTTCAAGTGTTGCTTTTCTCTCGTTGAAAAAGTAGTAAAAAACAAAAAACCAATTGTTAATATATACACACCTTACTATTCCAATTTCATTAAAGCAATGTAAGGCAAACAAACACCCAATGTAAAAACGAAATGCATTTAGGTTTAACGCATTGTTCTAAGTTGAGAACCCTTTTTTAAATAGTGACGAGAGGAGAGTACAGAAATCATTCTTGAGAAGGGGTTTCTGATGCAACCAGCCAGTTCTTGTTGATGCACTTTAGACATAGATTTACAGTGACAGACAAAGCAATTGCAGATTGTAAAAGTGAAACTGAAACCAATTAAACTTGTTTAATATGTACTGCTTTCTCTACCTCTTCTTATTTGTACTTCAGACATGTTGCACAGTGAACCCAATTTGAGCTTAAATCTCGTTAGCTATTTACTTTAATCATAAAATGTGAAGTGCTTTTAACGAACAAAATAAAAACCTGAAATACTGAAAATAAATAAATAAACTGTTATATAAAATAATAAAAAGTGTATGCATGCTAGCTAGCGAGGAGTTGGCTTTGGCTCAGTGATTACTTTTGAAGGTCCTTTTTGCTCAGGCTGCAAGGCTGCAGCCATGATGAACGTTTGTAAAGAGTCATTCATTTGAGAGAAAGTGCCTCCCTTCCCTCCTGCAAAGTTATTTGTTTTTTCCTCTCTTATTTTGTCCCAATTTACCAAAACCTTTGATCCTAATAACAAATAATTCACTCTCGATGGATGGATGGATCATAAACTACATACGACGTAATTGGAGAATCTAGATAGACGTGATATTATTTCTGCAAACAATTAATAATCAATTTTAAAAGCAATTTAGTTCACAATATAAATATATATAGTCAAGTCTCGAGTGCATATGTTCACATATTTTTTAAATACAGATCTCGTTTACGGACAAAAATTAAACTATCAAGCACCAAAAAAACAAAAAAAAAAAAAAAAATTCAAAAATTTTGCATGAAAATTTGTAAAACTTTATGTATGTATCTTTTACATTTCCAAATTAATTAAGAACCATATTTCTTCTTCTATTATTCAACATTCTTTAAATAAGTAACCATCTTTGCTGCCATAAGAGAGACAGAGCTAGCGTTTGTATTTATATACATCAGAAAGCAAACTGTTCTCACAAATTGCCGCCGCATCAAAACTCTCGGTGGTTATAATATCCAAAATTAACGTAGAAAGTAAACAATTTAATTACTGCTTTCACTGTATAAAAGCGGTCTGATGTGGTCGTTTCGAAGATGTGTCTAAAGAGAAATTATGTCAGGTGGTCCTCCGATCGATCGGATGGTGTAAATACAATTGGTATTTAAGTAATTGCAACCTGAACCTGTGTGTGCTCTCCTTTGGATTCATTGGCATGACTTCCAAAGTTCTTCCTCGATATAATTAATTAAGGACAAGATAGATGGGCTCGCCCCAAAAGCTAGGACTGGTTTTGTGTTGTTTAAATGCAAATCAGACCCAGGTGTATACGAATATTCACAAGCCGCCATGTATATCAAATAAGTAATTAATTTGGTGGCCAATTTCAATAATTTGTCATTCTTAATTGAAGTTATATTATCATCAGTAGACCATATATATATATATATATATATATATACATTAATTTTTGGCAATATATGGAGAGTAGTATATGTTGGAAGAGGAGCTTTTTAGCTCAAGGCTAATGAGGAGGCATTGAGAAAGTGTTTTGGAAGGGTGGATTACTATTGCTTCTCAATAATTGTTTGTACAAAATGGCTAGGAGTCACCCTCTTTTATAGTGCTCAAGAAGCCTTCTACACTCCAACTATCACCTACCCTAATAAGTATCATTCATCACTATCCATGATTAATATAATAACTACCTAACAACTCCCTAACAAATGAAATATTTTTACGTGATTTTTCTAGTTATAAGGCCTATTATTTGGGCTAAATACATAAACCAAATATGGGCTTTACGTTGAGCTTAGAAAGAAATATTAAGCTAGCAATAAATCCAAATATTCTTGCACCCAAATAAGTTTAATATTCAACACCCCCTTAAACTTGATTGGGACATAATTCCAAGTTGTGCTCTAAGTCTTCCAAAAACTTTATGCTTGAGTAGCTTGGTAAAGAAGTCGGCAGTTTGATCCTGAGAATTTGGCATACTTCAATTGCACCTCCTTGCTTGCCACACTTTCTCTCAGATAATGATAATTTTGTATCGATATGCTTACTTCGATCATGGAATACAAGATTCTTTGCTAGTGCAAGTGCTGATTTGTGGCATATTAAGATCTTTCAACAAACTTCGTAACCAAACTGCATGATAGACACATAAGGTAGCGGCCATATATTTAGCTTCAAAGGTTGAGAGTGTGACAATCGGTTGTTTCTTAGAACTCCAAGTGAAAGTTGTATCTCCCATAAAGAACACAAGCCTAGTAGTGCTCTTCTTTCATCCAAATCTCTAGCCCAGTCCTATCACTATATCTAACAAGCTTGTAGTTGTCAGATGATGAGTAAAATAGACCAAAGTCAAGTGTTCCTTTGATGCAAAGTAGGATCCTTCTGGATGTCTTCATGTGAGTGACTGTTGGTGTCTCCATGTAGCGACTAGCAAGCCCAGCTGTATACATAATATCTGATCTCGTGCGTGTCAGGTATACTAAGCTTCAATTCCTACCAAGCTCTTGAAAGTCGTTGGATCCGCTTTCTTTTTCAACGAGTGCTTTGAATTTCTTGAAAACACCAAATACTTCCGACTTATGCTTTAGAAAATAAACCTAAGTCTTTCTACTATAGTCATTAATGAAGAGTAGAAAAGTAGTTGTTTCCACCAAAAGTTGGGTTTCCTGGCCCACATACATCAATGTGTATGAGCTGCAATGGCTTCTTGGCCCTTGTAATGCTTCTTTGGGAAAGTTTTTTCTAAATTGTTTCTCAAGTAAACAGCCTTCACATATTTGAAAATAGGGGTGAAAAAAACCGGTTAACCGAATCAAACTGATCGTTTTTCGAAAAGAACTAAAAAACCGATTCAAGCATAAATCCAGACCGAAACTGAACCGATTTACTACTTGAACTGGTTTTAAACTTAATCGAATTATCGGTTTGAAAAACTGTTTAACCGGTTTTATCATCTCTACTCCTTCAACAAATTCTCCACAAAATCAAATCCTGCAAATCTCAACCACACTAGCCAATCTTCTTCACAAAACTAAATCAATCCACCACCAATCCAACTTTAAGAAAAATTGGTCAACAATTTTTCAATCATCAATTCCACTCGTAACATCAACAAAATATATCAAAAGTAAAAGAAATTAATTTGCGAAACTAATCCATATACTACATCAAGCAAACAACAATCCATTACCACAAACCAAAATCAAACAAATAAATTCCAAAAATTAAATCAAAACCCAAGAACTTAAGAACTTTGAAGATGCAAGGAAGTTGTCAGTCTA